GCCACAGTGTAATTGCTGTGAGCCAAAGAAATGGGTGGCTGCCAGATCTTCAGAGCCTGGCAGTGAGCCGTGTTCACCCAGCCTTCAGGGTGGGCATGGTGTGAGTGTCTGTCTCACTTCCCTCCTGGCTTCTCCACAGTCTCTTCTACGTACTTTTCCAGTTCATTTCATACCAGCGGACTTACTTTGTAGGTGCTTGATGAGGGTAGTGTTGTCGATGGTGTAGGCTGAGTATTGGAAAACTCACTGCTGAAAGTCCAGTGCTCTCTCTTTTTTAAAATGTTTTGATTGGAGAGAGACAGAAAGACAGTCAGAGACATCGGTTTGTTGTCCCACTTATTTATGCATTCATTGGTTCATATTTGTGTGAACCCTGAATGGGACTTGAACCCGAAACCTTGGCGTATCAGAATGATGCTGTAACCAACTGACCAGGCCAGGGCCTTAATGCTGTCTTAATAATCAGGGGAACTGAGCCCTTGAGGACACGGCTGACTTTGACAACCTAAGAATCCGTCGCTTCTGAGACCTCAGGGAGGTGGGCTGAGGTGAGAGTGCGGGCTCACCTTCGGCCCCTCCTCTTTCTCGTTGCCAAAGCTGATTGGCTGGGTTGGGATGCGCTGGGCTCTGCGTCTCTAATGGGCTTTCTTTGTTACTTGGCTCACCTAGAATTTGAAGAAAGTTAAACCCGTTGTGAAATGTATTACCTTTCAGAGATGAATAGCATCTTAATTGACTCCCTTTGAAAACATGTCAAACTGGGATTTCTAAGTCTGGGTGTAATCTGGTATGCCTTCAGATTGGGACCTCAGGCTGGGGCACTCTGGGGAGACTGGTCCACCTCCAAGTTTGTTTTCTGGCTCCAAACAAATGAGTGGCTGTTTGACTATTGGCACGCGACCCAGTTTTGAAAGTACAACCATATAGGGTATGGTGGACGGGTAACCAGGGGGTTTGGAAAGTGAGGTCATGGAAGGCCCAGATGAAACTCTTTTAATGTGTATCACAACTGCAATTAATCTTATTAACATGCTGGGCCTGTGCCTGCTCTCGCTGCCCCGGGTGTGCAGGGTATTGAAGGGGCATGCTTTGAAGGACTCTCTTCTTTGATGGTGCAGATGGATAACAGAAGCGTATAAAACTCTGTATCTGGTATTATAAAGGCCTTTTGTGTGCCTCTGCAGATTCATTCAGTTTTGAGAAGCAAACAAAAAACTTCATGCAGATTGATAAGATGTACAAAGGAGAATTGATTGTAAACGCAGTCGTGTAACTGTGGGCTCTGTGACCAGACGGAATCGTAGAGAAGGAGCCGAGCCCCTCCGCGGCGCCCAGCGCCCAGGTAGTCCCAGCACAGTATTCGGGAGTGAGGTTTAAAAGCACGCTTGGTTTGTTGGGAGGCGAGAGTAAACGTAGAAAAGGCAAACCATGGAAGGTGCTGCGGGTGCTGATTCTGCATTGGTGGGGGAGCATGGGGGCTCCTAAGACAGAGGTAAGTGAGGGCTGCTGCGGTGCAGCCGCTTCCTGGGCGAGGTGGCCTTGAAGAGGAGGATCACACAGTGAAGAGCAGGGTGAGGGGTGCACAAGGTGCTCTTGGGGAAGAGCGAGCTTGACTGAGTGGAAGGCTTGTTGGACGAGGCAGGGACGAGGCTGGAAGAATTTATTTATTTATTCATTTATTTTTAAAATCCTCACCCGAGGATATTTTTTTCCATTTTTATCTTCAGATAGAGGCGGATTGGAGGGGGGGAGAGAGGAACATTGATATGAGAGAGACACATCGACTGGTTGCCTCCTGCACCACCCCGACCAGGACTGGGACTGAACCACAACCGAGGTACGTGCCCTCGACCGAAATTGAACCCATGACTCTTTGGTCTGCGGGCCGATGCTCTACCCCTGAGCCATACCAACTAGGGCAGGCTGGAAGAATTTAAAGAGTAAGTGGCACCCTGTGACCTTCCTCTCTCTCACCAGTGCATTTGAGAGAAGGCTTGTACAGTGTTGCATCCTTATAAGGTTGCTGCCTAGTTCTATTTTTGAAGTCTATTTTTTAAGAAGTTATCTAAAATACCCACCTAGACTCCCTTCTGCTGTTCTCGTTGTTTAACAAGTAGCCCTGGGGACAAAGAGGTTGTTTAAAATCATCATGTCCAGCAGATGTGCATTGGGTATGCTAATGTCCCCTGTTGAACACAGAAACCACTCACTAAGTGAATAATTAATAAAAGAAATGTCTGTTCCTGTGTAATGTACTCAATTGCTCATAATTAATGAATGCCACACCTGTAACACTAAATCTGTTCTCTCAAAGTTTGCTTGCTATGTGCTGACACAGGTTTCTTGCCTGCAGGACTTGTCAGAGCCTTTAGCATTCTCTAAAGTACTTTGGGAGTCTCTAAGGAGGGTGGGAGAGGAGGCTGAGGAGTGCCCTTTCTGTCCACAGAACATCTTGGAGGATTCGTGTCCCATGGGGCGCTCTCTGGGAACATGGCGCCCTTCTGCTGGTCAGTGTTGTGTGCACTGCCCTCCATTATTCCATTTACGTTTTCTACCCTGACTTAACCAGTGACACCTCTCTTGATAGAAGGAGGGTGAGAAGGCTGTTACATTCTTCCCTTCCTGTTTCTTTGCTGTTGGAAATATGAACAGCAAACATCTTATGTGGCTACATAGAAGAGTTGTCGACACGCTGAATTTGGGCAAGATGAGTCCTTGAATCCTCACATAAATGGAAATAGAGCCCCAGCTCTACATCCTGCCATCACACACACACACACACACACACACACACACACACACACACCCCTCCCCCAAAAAACTCTGGAGTGGACAGGATGAATCAGCATGCCATGGCTGGATACCAAGATCAGCGTCTAAGCATGGCACTGGCCAGTGGTCAGTACTGGTACCGTGAGAACATAGCAGCCAGCTGCACACTGTGCTTTTAAGGTCAAGAACAGCAGCACCATGTACACCAGAAACAACTGTTCTGATTTCTTCCCTTCAGGAATAGCATCTTATTTGCTCTAGAATAGTTGTCTTTTTTTTATCCTCACCCGAGGACATTTTTCCAGTTTTTGTTAAGATAGAGTTGGAGGGAGAGAGAGAGAGAGAGAAACATCAACCTGAAAGGGACACATCAAGTGGCCGCCTCCCGCACGACCCAACCAGGGCTGGGGACAAACCACACCCGAGGTACATGCCCTTAGCGGGAACTGAACCCGGGTCTCTCTGGACTACAGGCCGATGCTGTAACTGCTGAGCCAGATCGGCCAGGGCTGTTTTTAATAATTTTACAGAGAGAGGAAGGGGGTGGGGAGAGAGAAACATTGGTTGGTTGCCTGATGGGAATCAAACCCCAAACCTTTTGGTGTACGGAATGATGCGCCAACCAACGGAGCCACCTGGCTGGTGCTGGAACAGTTGTCTTTTTATTTTGACATAATATTTTACATTGCTTTCTTCTGGGTTTTTCCTTCCATGTTCTTCATTCATACCTGTGCACATTACATTCTAGTTCACTGTCCAGGAGAGCACCACAAGCCACGCATGGCTACGTACATTCAAAGTATTGACAGCTGCTCACATGCCCATGTGGCTGGTGGCTCCTGTTTGGACAGCACAGGTTCAGAACTCCTCCCTCTCTGCAGATGCAGAAGTGCTGTTGGATAGCACCCTTCCCACACACATTCATGAGGGTTGAGCAAAACGAGCTCCCAGCCTAAAATACCCTCCTAGGGCTTTGTGGGTTTAGCTCTGTGGGACAGCCCTTCCTGTATTCATCACAGGGTTTCCACGTCTAAAATACATCTCAGGCCCGGCCAGTGTGGCTCAGTGGATTGAGCGTCGTCCCATGGACTGAGAGGTCCCAGTTCAATTCCCGGTCAGGGCACATGCCCGGGTTGCAGGCTCAATCCCCAGTAGAGGGCATGCAGGAGGCAACCTATTGATGTTTCTCTCTCATTTCCTCTCTTTTTAAAAATCAATAAAGCTTGGCCGGTGTGGCTCAGTGGTTGAGCATTGACTCATGCACCAAGAGGTTTGATTCCTGGTCAGGGAACATGCCCAGGTTGTGGGCCCAATCCCCAGTTGGGGGCATGCAGGAGGTAGGTGGCTGGTCGATGTTCTCTCTCATTGATGTTTCTGTCTCTCTCTCCCTCTTCCTTCCTCTCTCTCTAAAAATCCATAAAGAAAAAAAATGTTTTTAAATCAATAAAAACATTAAAAAACAAACAAACATCTCAGGACAGTTTTCCTGTGCTAATTATACTTTAACATCTAATTCAGGAGTATCTGACTTGACTCGTTGAAGGTTTCTTTTGAGCCCCAAACAGCTTGCTCTCGAGCTCCTGGAAGTCACTTGCTTAATGCCCAGCTCCAGTGCAAACCCACGCTGGTGTGCACGGAGGTTCCGCCCCGACTGCAGCGGAAAGATGTCTCCCAGAGAAGATTTTTCTGTTTTGGTTCAGTCCTCGATACTTTATTTGATGTCTTTGCTGGAACACAGCCTGGAAGGAAGACTTCTAAGGTGTCGTTACCGAGACTCCATCCTGCTGGAGCTGTCCCTGAAGGCCATGGCAGCAGGGCCCCTGCTCACAGGAAGTGCAGTCTGAGGATGAACAGTGCTTGTTTTGTTCTGTACAGAATGAGACTGGCCCATGTTCTCTCCGTACTGCTCTGGGTACCAGTTTGAGACATCAGTAGGTGATTGCCTATTTCCACAACTGGAAATGAAGTGAAGAGTAGGAATCCATGAGTTTGGAGTGTAGCCTCCCGTAGAGGAAGCGCAAGCACCTGCTGGCCTAGTAAGTTGACCCTTCTCCACTGCCGTGGGCTGGACCCCCGGCCTGGCAGGGTCAGAGCAGCTCCATGTGAGGGCTGTGGGACCACCAGTGGAAGACGATGGCCCTGTTTGCTGAGTGTCTGCTGTGGCCCTGTCATCGGGCACTCAATTAGAAGAGTCTAGGCTATTTGCATTTTTAAAAAAAGGGTCAGTGGTGCTTACTTTGGCAGCATATATACTAAAATCGGGATGACCGAGAAGACGAGCATGGCCCTTGAATAAGGATGACACACAAAGTCATGCCTTGGCTGATTTGGCTCAGTGGTTGGAGCATCGGCCTGAGGACCAATGGGTCACAAATTTGATTCCGGTCAAGGGCACGTACCTTGATTGCCCTGGTCAGGGTTGTACGGGAGGCAACCAGTTGATGTGTCTTTCTCACATCAATGTCTCTCTCCTGCCCTCCCTCTCTATCTGAAGATAAATGGAAAACTATCCTTCGGTGAGGATTAAAAACAAAAAGATAAAATGAAAAGGTCAGTAGCTTTATTTCATGAAGGGGTCTGTGGTGCAAAAAAACCCCCACAAAACCCAAAAGACCAAAGGAAAGAAAATCCCAAAAGGGGGTGGAGTGGGGAAAGTAAGACTAACTTTACTAGGCTGTCAGCCAAGAACAGGCAGAAGGGCAGGGGCCACAGCTGTGTCCCCAGGTTTCAGTGCTTGGCACAGAGCCAGGCACCAGTAGGCATGCAGTGCAGAGTTGTTGAATAATAGATGGCATTCTATTTTCATAGCAGTTCTATAAAGTATTTATTGGTTTGTACCTTTTAATGAGATGAGAAAACTGAGGCTCAGAGAGGTTAAATAGCTTGTCTTTGGACACACAGCTAGGATGTGGCAGGTCTGTGATTCAGACCTCATTATGTCTAAACCATGGTCTGTGCTTTCAGTAGGCTACAATAGAGGGAGTGGTAGGGACATGCTCATCTTCTTGAACATGGTCACTCCCAGTCGCTTTGTATTTGTGTGTTGCTTTATTTTTAACTTTAAAAAGTTTTAAGCTTTGACATAACTTCAGAATTACAGAGAAGTTAGCAATAAGATTATAAATACTTCTTAGACCCTTTGTCTTCTTTGCCCATGTCTTTAGAGGTATGTTCTTGGAAGATCTTGATTGGTGAGCTGTTTGAACATGAGACTGGGCCGCACTGCACGGGGATTGCCCGGTGTCTGTGAGGGTAGGGTGTGTCCTTGATGAGAAAGTGTTGGGGGGAGGGGTGTGTGTGGAAAAAAAAGACGTGACCCCACCCAGGAACTGAAGCTAACCCAAGAGCCGCCCTCAAGGGCTTGTTGGATGAGAACATGAGAGAAGAGTCTAGGGTTTATAATTTTGTATGGAAGAACTCTCCTTCTGAGAAACTGGAGGGTTTGGGGAATATTAAAAAAAGTGACTTATAAAAAAAAACATGACTTCAACTTCCCAATCGGACACTCTCAGGCGTGGCATCGTACCCTCCCGCTGCCAAGAACAATAACCGATGCGTTCACAGCCGGCTGCACCTCATGCCATTTCCTCTCCTCCTCATCACAATTAAAGATTAATGTTTATACTATTTTATCTGTTCCACGCCTGCCACACAGGTTTTTCTTTAACCCTCTCCTTCTTGCTTGCACCGCTGTACCTCCTTCCTCCCTCCGGTTTCCAGGTTCTCCTCTTCCTCCAGCTAAGACAGCTATGTTCCCAAAGGCCTGTATCCGGAGGAAGGGCGGGCGTGGACCCTTCCCTGTGGGAGAGGAAAGGGGATCTCTCTTTTGAAGGGATAAACAACTTGGAAGTTTTCCAGATCAGGAGAGTAGCTTCAGTTCTGACACTGAAAGAAACCAGTGCCCTCTGCTCCAGGGCCTGAGTGCGTCACTCCTGTGTCTTCCCCCCTGCACGGGACGCCTTCCCGTGGAGAACCGTGCTCAGGTACATTCCTTGACGTTCCTCGCTCATACTCAGCCTGCGCTGGACAGTAAGCGCGAGGTGGAGGTGATGGTCCCGTGCTCAGGCAGGTGCCTGGTGCATCGGAGAAGCCCAGCAGATACTTGCTGTGGCCTGGGTGTGCAAATGCTGCATCAGTTGACTTAAAAATACAGGATCAGCCCTGGCCAGTTTGGCTCAGCAGTTAGAGCGTCGGCCTGCGGTCCGGAGAGACCCGGGTTCGGTTCCCGCTAAGGGCATGTACTTCGGTTGCAGTTTGTCCCCGGCCCTGGTTGGTCGTGCGGGTGGCAGCCACTCGATGTGTTCCTTCACGTCGATGTTTCTCTCTCTCTCCCTTCCTCTCTCTCCCTCCCATTCTATCTGTACAAAAAATGGAAAAATATCCTCGGGTGAGGATTTAAAAAAAAAAAAAAAATACAGGATCATGTAGGAGGAGATCTGAAAAGTCTCATCACAAGGAAAAAAATTGTAACTATGTGAGGGGATGGATGTTAACTAAACTTATTGTGATGATCATTTTGCAATATATACATATATCAAATCCTTATGTTGTGCACTTAAAATGAATACAATGTTATATGTCAATTGTATCTCAATAAAAAAATACAGGATCACAGCCTTTTAGGTTTTAGCCGCTTCCCAGATTTACTTTCCAGTGGATCTTTTAATAATGCAGGTTCAGCCTTGGATGAGGTCTGGCTGGGTCTTTAATTTCTGAGGAGGCAGCAGTTACGACACGAGGGCGTGTGGACCACCCCGGGAAGCTGCTCCTCCCAGACGGGCTTGCTCCTTGCTGGCCCTCAGGCCTGGGGGTGCTGACGTGAGGGGCGAAGGCTGGGTGCTAGGTCCAGTGAGCATCGGCCAGACCTGTAGTTAAGAACCGATCACGCTGAGGCTGAGTGAAATAAGTTAGACAGAAAAGGACAGGAACCAAGTGATTTCACTGATATGTGGGATAGAAAACAAAAAGCAACAAACCAGACTCATAGACACAGACAGCAGAATGAGGGGAACAGAGGGCAGTGGGGTTGGGGGGAGAATGGGGTGGGGGTAAAGGGGTCAAATACATGGTTATGGAAGGAAACTAGATTTTGGGTGGTGAGCACAATATGGAATATATAAATGTTGTATATAACTGCTCTGGCTGGTTTGGCTCAGCGGTTGGGGTGTCGGCCTGCGGACCAGAGAGTCCTGGGTTCAGTTCTCACTAGGGGCATGTACCAGAAAAAAAAAAGTAAAGTGGTATACCTGAGATTTATATAATGTTATTAACCAATGTTATCCCAATAAATTTAATTTAAAAAAAAAGAACTGACCAAACTGACTTGATCCTGCTCTTTGCTTCTTTTTAAAAAATATGTTTTTATTGATTGTATTATTTTTTAAAAATGTATCTTTATTGTTGAAAGTATTGCAGATGCCCCCCCCCCCCCTTTTTCCCATTGACTCCTTCTACCCCAGTTGGCTCTTTGCCCTTAATCGCTCTCCTCGGCCTCTCTTTCTCTTCAGTCTTAGACTTCTGGTTCTTATTTAGATGGTGAGCCCCTGGGGTGTGTATGTATGCTACGGCATTCGTGTAATTAGCTATTTTGTAGGTTTTAAATATTGAGTCTTTGGTTTCCTCGATTCCTCAAATGGAACCATCTTGCCCAGTTGGTCACACCAATGAGAACATCATCAGATCTTTGCAAAGTTATCCAGTTAGGCCAGGAAGCACCTGCAAGATGAGAAAACAGACTAAAACAGCCTTTAAGTTTTCAAACGTCCACATGGAACAGTTGACACCTGTTTGATTTAGTGGAAATGGCATGGAGGACCTGGATTAAAATTAGGCTTGGTCTCTTAACTAGTTGGGCCCCAGTACAGGGTTAGCTGGCGACAGAGCAGGACTCGAGTCTGGGTCTTGCTGGGATGGGCCCTTTCCGCAGCTCCCTTTGCCCTGCCAAGGAAATGGGTTGGAAGGAGGGCCAGCAGAGAGATGCAGTATATGTTTTAAATTTCCTTGGAAATCGTCATTGAAGCTTCTGAAAAATTACTTTAATATACGCCTTCTCCCCACCCCCCCAACCAGTGACATCAAAAAATAAGATTGCTTTGGAGTTTCGCAGTGGCAGGTAGACTGCTCCCAAGGGGAATTCGTGTCAGGCCCCTGAAACGAGGGAAGGACCTGCTGCCTTGTGCTGGTCCTCCTCCATATTTATCATCCAGCACTGGCCCGGCAGACTTCTTCAGGACAGTGCTGAAACTGAAAAGTTTCTGAGATAATTTATAGTCAGCATACCCCCACAGGGTCTAGAATCAAAGGAGCCATTTATTGTCGTCGTGAAGTGTCTCTGCAGGTCTGTAGCGGCCGCCCCCCACGCGTGCAGACCACTGGCTCGCAGAGATGGGTGGTCCCCGCTGTGAGGGTGCCGTGGGGACTGGAAAACGGCACCACTTCAAAGGGTGGATAAATCATTCAACTTGAAGTGCTCTTCCTCTTTTTGTCTTGGAGCTCGTTAGGTCCCTTCATCTTGTCTAGTTGCTTGCTCTGGTTCGAATCTGATCATGCAGGCTTTAAGTTTTCAAACGTCCACATGGAACAGTTGACACCTGTTTGATTTAGTGGAAATGGCATGGAGGACCTGGATTAAAATTAGGCTTGGTCTCTTAACTAGTTGGGTTGCCCCGGACAAGCCACTTGACCTCTCTAAGTCTTAGTGTCCTTATCTGTAACGTTGGGGTACAAATAAGTTCATTGTTAGGAGATTCCAATGAGGACGCCCTGTGGAAGTACTTAGTGGTTTCAGTAAACATTTGGCATTACTTTGGGATCTGGCTTCAGATAAGTTCAATCACTTCCACAGAAGAGTTAATTTCTTTTTTTTTTTATTCTCACCCAAGGACATTTTTTGTTGTTCTTCAGATAGAGTGGGAGGGAGAGAGAGAGAGAGAGAGAGAGAAACATTGACGTGAAGGGACACATCGAGTGGCTGCCACCGCACAACCCAACCAGGGCTGGGGACAAAGTGCAACTGAGGTACGTGCCCTTGGCAGGAACCAGGAACCGAACCTGGGTCTCGTGGGACCGCAGGCCAACACTTAACTGCTGAGCCAAACCAGCCAGGGCAGAAGAGTTAATTTTTATTGGCAGGTTAATTAACTTCTTAGAACTTGATCTCATCCGGAAACTGAAATAACTCCTACTTGGTTAAATTGTTGGGAGAGTTAAATGCAATACAAGTCAGGTGCTTGATATGCCTGGCTTCATGGGGTCACCGTAGCTTGGTCATCTGCGAACACATGACCTACTTTGCATGATGGCATACACTGGTTGAGCTCTTTGAAACAGTAAACCACCAGTGAATTCTTCACAGTGATAAGAGCATTTAACTAATATTGTCCCTGCAGAGAGTGGGTTCACCGAGACTGGGGGGGTGGGCTTGAGAGTGGGTGCGTGGGGGGAGTCTGGTTACTTGACACAAGGATTTGTTTGGAAAATAAATTTCCTTCTGGTAACTGTATATAATGTGACAGGTCAGTGATTAGTGCCAGCTACCTTTTATTAACTACTGTACAATACTGTAAAGCTGTAAGGTCATAAAGGCCATGAAGTTTGCCAAAGAGAAGATTTTGGTATGTGTCTTCAGATGTTTAAAATGGAAATAGTCAATCCAGCGTGGACTTTTAGGGAATGATGTTTTTGCAGAAGGCTAAATTAGCAAAGACAGTTTTGCAAAATAACACTTAATGAAGTGTTGCTTTGAACTGCTGACAAATGAGTTTTTGCTGTGTCTCTCAGGAAGACTAGTCTGAAGGAAGAGAACCTTGGTTGGTGGATGAGAGGAGGAGAATGTGTTAGTGAGCGTGTGGGTATGAGTGTGTGTGTTTCGAGGTAAAGTGCTCCACACTTGGTCATAGTGCTCTCGTGTGTCAAGAATTCCGGCTTATCTGCATTTTTCTCCGATTGCTCACGTGTGGCCTGGCTTGTGTTTTTTTCTAGGATGTGGAGAAAGAGAAGGAAATCCACAATTACCTCAGCAAAGAGGAAATCAAAGAGAAGGTTCACAAATACAACTTAGCAGTCACAGACAAGTTGAAGATGACCTTGGTAAGCACCCATGATGCTCTTTAGGTTGACAGAGGTCAAAAACAAATACAAGTTGTTGCTCCTACGATGTCTCTGTATGTTTTATTTTTATTTTTTTTTTTTTTAAATTTTTTTTTTTTTTTTTTTTTTTATCCTCACCGGAGGACATTTTTCCATTTTTTGTTCAGGTAGAGTGGGAGGGAGAGAGAGGAACAGAGAGAGAGAGAAACATCGATGTGAAAGGAACACATCGAGTGGCTGCCACCCGCACAACCGACCAGGGCCGGGGACAAACTGCAACCGAGGTATGCGCCCTTAGCGGGAACCGAACCCGGGTCTCTCAGGACCGCAGGCCGACGCTCTAACCGCTGAGCCAAACCAGCCAGGGCTCTCTGTATGTTTTAAAATCTCGGAATCACACTGCAGAAGTTTCAGGTCCAGGTGTATAGGGCAGGAAAATGTTTCTCCATGTTTCAAATTAAAGTTGTATTTTGAAGTAACTTTATCTCAAAATCAATGACATGAAGTTAATCTTATTTTAGAAGATATCTGTGCCCCCTGTCCCCCGCCAAAGGATTTCTGGCATTGAGTGTAATTATTGCCTGCTTAACATATAGGCGGTAACTCAGATTCTAATAAGGCCTTGCATACGTTTTATCCTGTGCATGTAAATAATTTCGGAAGTATCAGGAAACAGTTTTTGTGCCAATGGACTGGAACATAATTGAGCTCGGACTTTTTCTCAGCCGATTGCCGAGAGGAGATGAAGCATGTATTGCTCAGCTCCCGTGCACTGTTGACTGGTCTCACAACGTTGTACCAGCACTGCCCGAAGCGCAGTGGGGGGAGGGTGCAGGGGGCGGCACAGCGCCAGGCGGGCAGAGGAGCGCCCACAACAAAGCTGGGGTGTTCGTGTCCCTCTAACCTGGACTGGCGTCTCTACCCCCCCCCCCCCCGGTACTTTCCTGGAGGCGCCTGCCATCCCTTGGTGCCAGTTTCCAGGGCCTTGGACCCCTGCCTCTCGGTCTATTGACTGTGAGCTGACCAGAGTTCAGCAAAGGACAGGGTGACCCGTTTAGGACAGGCCCTACTGTGACCCCGGGGGAGGAGCTTGTAAATATGAACCCTTGTGATAAAGGATCCCTCCCTGGCGGGACTCTGCCGAAAAGGGGGGAGGGGCAGATGACCTCGAGATTACGCTTCATTATCCAGCAGTGAGGTTTCTCCTTTTTCAAACCGTTTTCATCAAAGTAGAAAAATTCCACACCCCCTCCTGTGGAGATTAAAACAGATGCAAATTTCCATGTTTTGTAGATGAAAAATTTTAAGTGTTTATAATACTTTCCACAAGACTGAACAAGTGGATTCGTACTGTACAGTGATCTCGTGGAAGAAAAAGGACGGACCGTGAGGAGGTCTTTGATGACCTGCTTTTAACTGGGTCGTTCATACTAACACCTGAGGACTTATTTTTTTTAAAATTACATTTTTTTCTAAATATACTGAATGTAAAAATAAAAAGTGAAGAGAACACTGTTATTACTATTTTTGGCAACTAAGAAATAGTAATTGTACTGTAAGTTAAGACAGATGCTAAAACTCATCAAATTGTGTATATTACATATGTGTATTTTTTTGGTATAAAAGTTATACCTCACTGAAGCTGGTAAATATATGTAGATATAGAAGGAAACATAAATATCATGTTAAATAAAAAGAGACAGGTGCTTATATTATACTATCTATAGTTCATAGTATAGCTTGAATTTGTTTTAAAAATACTGCTTCTTGAGGGGCCTGAAATGCATCGAGTATTCCATGCTCCGTGGGATATATTTATATAAAAGAGTTGGAGTGGCCCTGGCCAGTTTTGCTCAGCGGCTGGAGTGTCGGCCTGCAGTCTGGAGAGACCTGGGTTCGGTTCCTGCTAAGGGCATGTACCTCGGTTGCAGTTTGTCCCCGGCCCTGGTTGGGTCGTGTGGGTGGCAGCCACTCAATGTGTCCCTTTCACGTTGATGTTTCTCTCTCCCTCTCTCCTCCTCCCACTCTATCTGAACAAAAAATATCGAAAAATGTCCTTGAGTAAGGATAAAAAAAAAAAGTTGGAGTGAAATTGGTAGTCTAGTACATATTATAGCAGCCAGTGGGATTGAAAATAGCTTGTTTTCTTACTGCCTGCTCCTTGTTGACTTGGGTATTTCAGAGTCCTAATTGTGACCTTCCTTTTTTGTGTAATGGCCGGTCACCGGTTACAGACATCGTTTCCTTAGCCGTTAGCCTAGACCCAGTCCCCGGGCTTCCGCACGCCCTGCGGTTTGGCCAGCAGCTGCCCCAGCACACTGACCTCCGGTGGGCCCTGACCTCCCCGCGCGGCTTCCCAGTCCAGGCTCCAGGCGGCACTGAGTTAGGAGGCGGCTCCCGCGCCACATCTGCCCTGCAGACCTTGCCTCTGGAAGCACTTTGCTGGAGTTGCTGACCTCCCCCAGAGGTCATTCCCCTGGGGCAGTCTCTGGTGAAGTTCGGAAAGAACCAGGGGAAGAGCGGTTCACCTTCCTCTATTCGTTCTGATAGGCTGCTTTCCTCGCGTGCCACCTTCGGCCCAGCTAAGAGTGTGCTTTTCTCCCTGCTTCAGAACTCAAATGGGATTTACACTGGCTTCATTAAGGTGCAGATGGAACTCTGCAAAGCGCCCCAGACGGCTGCGGACTCGGCAAGGCCCGCTCCCAGCAGCAACGGCTGCACGAACACTCTGCACATCAGCAGCACCAACACCGTCGGGGAGGTGATCGAGGCCCTGCTCAAAAAGTTCCTCGTGGCCGAGAGCCCTGCCAAGTTTGCACTTTATAAGCGTTGCTACAGGGAAGATCAAGGTACACGGCCACGCTTACAGGGAGAATGGTCTCTGCTTTCATTTGTGTCCTTGGTGCTTTCGAGCGGAAGGGAGACTAGCGGGTGTGTCTGTGGTCACGGCAGAGCCAGGGACGGGTTCTGGAAGATGAATCCCCACACGCGCGGCGTGCTCCCTGGCTGTCCACACTTCTGAGGCGGACAGCTGTGCGTCTGGAGAACTCGGGCCTCCGCGGGTGGTGGGCGTTGATGCACACAGGGGGATGGCTTTGATGTTTTCTTTGGGGGTGGCTTTGATTTTAATGTTCTTCAGGACAAAAAAGGACGCCCCTGTGCTTGTGCATCCGAACTGGGAGGCCTGTGGACTTCGGCCTCCGAGGACTTGAGGATGGGGAGGGCCGTGTGTGTGACCGCACGTTTCAGACCCACTGACGGAAATGGACAGCCCCGGGCTCTTCTCTTCCCTCAGCCTGTCCCTCTGGCCGTTACGCTGGGCATTTGGGCACCAGCCCCTCCGAGGCCTTCACAGTGGGTGGATAACATTGTGACCTGGGGGCTGCCTGTCTGAACTTACCCACATTCAGTGGCCAGAAAGAGAATATTAAATTTCTGCATGAAACGGAATAAGATATTCCAGGTCAGGTACTCGAGCCGAAGTCGATACCAGTGGTGGACAACAGTGATTGAGTGGTTGACTAAGTGCTAATTTGAAAATGGTGTCTCTGTGTGAGAAAGCAACTATTTATAGTCCCTGGCTTTTCCGGGTAAAGCCTACAGCAGCTCTAGAAGAAAATAATACTAACCTGACCTGGCAGGAATGCCCTCAGTTGCATGGGGATGAAACCCAGCTAGTGCTGAGGATCTGCACATTTTTTCAGTACACACCATGCATGGGGCTGGGCCCTGCGGGATAGGGGTGAACGAACGAGATCCCGACCCTTGAGGCACAGGCTCAGTGCGTGGGCAGGTTCACATCTGTGGGGAAGTTAGCACCCGGAAGGGCCAGAGTACTGTAGGTAAGCTCAGAGGGCACTTGGATCTGGCCAGCTGCTTCGCCTGCTCACCTGGACTTAAACTCTGCAATCCTGTTGAAATATTACCTTCATGTCTGGCAAATCTTAACATCACAGGCAGTGCCAGCCCTGTGTGTGAGTGAGTGTGAGATGAGACACATTTAGCTGTGATTGAGGCCACCAGAGCGCGTATTCCGACTGCTTAGTTTGTTTGTGGCTGCAAATCCTGATTTAATCTGCAGAGAGATTTGCTCCTAGAGCTCTGACTTCATGTACTTTGGATGGTATATTTTTACTGTTTTTAAGGGGGTTGCAGCAGATCCTTTAAAAAAAAAAAAGTTTCTTGTTCTCTAAAGAGAGGAGCAGAATTAATTATAAGCCCATTTTGGGGACGAATACCCATTTAAATTCATCCTTGAAAATTATTTCCATTTTGATCAAGGCACAGTTTATATGGTGCAGCTAGGAAGAGGATCGAATGGATTTCATTCCATTAGGAGGAGGATGGTGACTGGGGGGGCCGTTGCCTTGATCTGGAGGAGGGGTGGTGCGGGTGTGCGTGGCCCAGGGAATGAGTCCGTCCTCTGACTTGCTGCTCGTGTCCTTTCGCAGTCTACGCCTGCAAGCTCTCAGACCGGGAACACCCGCTCTACTTGCGTTTGGTAGCAGGGCCCCGAACAGACACACTCAGTTTTGTTCTTCGTGAACATGAAACTGGAGAGGTAAGTGATTGTACATTACTGCTTTCAGTTGTACACACCAGCTGGTCCTGTGCTATTGCTCTCATCTAGTGATTTTGACCATTGGAGGGGAGGGGGCGAGAGGGAGACAGTGTTGGCCGCCTCTGGAGGAGGAGGGGCAGCCTGTGGAGGGCGGGAGGCAGCTTTCTGTGTGTCTTTGAATTGTCAGAAATGAATCTAAAGTTGGTCTCCAATATAATTCTTTTACAACACTCATTATATTGGTCTGTAATTTTCAGAGGTGGAGGACATAAAATTTTAACTTGATCTCCACCCAAAGAGTCATTTTCACCCCCTCTACCTCCAAATTCCTCCAATCCAGCCGAACTTTGAAAGCCGACACTCTCCACATGTTTGCTGCTAACAAAGTCTCCAGGCTAATTGACTCCAAAAGGAAATAAAAGGGAATTTAATCTCTTTCCCAGGAAAGACATTTAACTTTGTAGAGTCCTTTTTTCCTCTTTGCCCAGATGATTAAGAAATTATGTTTATGTACATGGCATCGTTGGCCATCTTCTCTCCGGGGAGGATCGTGTTTAGGCCAGTGCATGTGGAGGAGAAAGCACTTTCGACCGTCCTCTCGATCAGGTGTCCGCTTTGAAAGGACACCTGAGTAAGTCTGTCAGGCTTCGGGTCCCAGTCTGTTGTCTGAAACAGGAAATGGTCCGACCTGCCCGTTTGTGATGCGGCGAGAATAGGGTTTCTAGGTTAGAAAGTTAGGGCACCAGCATCCCTCCTCACTTAGAGCAGGAGCGTGACCTGGGGTAGGTCTGATCTTTCCAGTCCTCAGTTTTAACGTCTGGGAAGTGGGACTAAGGACTTGAAAAGGTGGTTGTAAGTTGTAAATGAGAAATTTTGTAAACATGCTTTGTACATAACATGTTTATGTCCGTGTGAACTGGAGCTTTATTTGGGCACTTTTGAAATTTCGTCTGATTCTGATGTTCTGAAGTGTTTAAGATCCGCTGTCATTTTGGGGAGAAAACCGGTTCTGGCTTTGCTTTGACACACGACAGCGTTTCCTCTGAAGCCTAAGCGGACATGTCAGCCAGTGTCCTCTTTTCCTGGTCTTTGAAGCATTGCACATCATTTAGTACAATTAGAGCTACATTTATGGTCTGGGAGGGAATTACGGTTCTGACATTTACTTGTGTTTTAATATTCTGAATTGCTTTATTAGACTTCTGCTTGCTGCTCTTATTTCTCAGCGTCGTCAGGTTAGCTAGACCGAGGGGAGAGACTCCATGGCTGTCAGGAAGGGGAGGCACTTCCTTTGTTTGGAGAACATACGTGAAAAATAAAATGTTAATTTTTTTCTCTCTCTTTTTTTTTTCTTTTTTTAAACAATCTCAAGCTCTATCTTTGGGAATCTTCTGTCATGGAGCCACTTGGTGGTTTTATTCTGTCTCCTCTCCATGCAGTGTATTATCTTATCTCCAGGCTTTTCCGTTCCCCACACCCCCGGGAATTCTCCATCAGAATTGTTCCTGAGCATGGCAGAGATCCGCAGCCAGGACCCAGGGCCCCATTTTGGGAGGGGAGCATGTATAGTTTGGAAAAACCTCCCCTGCCTGCTGGTGCGGCTCAGTGGATTCAGCATCGTCCCACGGACTGAGAGGTCCCAGTTCCATTCCCGGTCAGGGCACATGCCCGGGTTGTGGGCTTAATCCCCAATAGGGGGCGTGCAGGAGGCAGCCATCGATGTTTCTCTCTCCCTTCTTGTCTCTAAAAAAAAAAAAAAAATCAATAAAAACATATATATTTTTTTTTAAAGAAAAAACCTCCCAGGTGATGCCATATATCCTTCTTGACATTTACTGCTCCAGTGAAAAAATAAAAGAACAACCCCACAAACATTTATTTTGTGCCGTCTAAGTACTGGGTGCTTTTAGGGAAATAGAGCTCAGAGCCTCAAAGGCAAGAGACAAACCTCAAACCGCAAGAAGAATGGCAGCTGCGGTGTAGGTGAGAGAGACTCAGCAAATAATTATGATTTTTACATCTTTCTGGATCAGAGTTACCAGTGCTCGGTGAGAACTTTTTAATAGACTTAGCCCTGGGTGGAAAGGGAAGGGAGGAAATCATGGAAGGCTTCTAAGAGAAAGTGGCATTAAGCTGAGACTTGACAGGTGAGTAGGAGTTCACCAGGCAGAGTGGAGGAGGGGAGAACGTGTGCAAAGCCACTTGGGGTAGTAAGTGAGGGACACAGTGAAAGAGAGGGTAGGGTCGTTCACACTTAGCAGAAACAACCAAAGGAAGCCATTGAATGATTCTAAGCAGGGGACGGTCATGACCAGAATTGCATTTTGTAGAGTACAGTGGTCCCCTCTAATCCGTGGTGGGAGATGTTTTAAGCCCCCCACTGGATGACTGAAACCGCAGATAATACTAAACCTTCTTCACTTAAATGAAGCACTTTACAGCTTCCCTTTGTCATATCTGAATTGCCAGCATTGTGCTGTTAGTAAAATAAGGGTTACTTGAACGCCAGCACTGTGACGTTGGGGCATTCAGTCGATAACCCAGGCACTGCTGAGTGACAAAGGGCAGGGAGCACGTACAACCTGGAGAAGGTGATTCACATCCTGGGAGGGATGGAGTAGAGGGCTCGAGGTTTCACCATGCTGCTCACCATGCACACTATTGAAAACTTACGGATCATTTATCTCTGGAATGTTCCATTTCATGTTTTTGGACCGTTGACCAGGGTAACTGAAACCAGGGAAAGGGAATCACGCATCAGGGGCAGGAGTTCTGTGTTCAGGCTGGCTCTCTGGGGACCAGACTGGGAGCACGGAGTGGAGCGAGGGGGCCGGGGAGGAGGACATCCAGGGTCGGGGACGGTGATGGTGGCCAGCACTAGGGGCAGTTGAGATGGAAACAGCACACAGATTGGAGAACTGTTTGGGAAATGATTACATTGATTGTGAGAGGCGAGAAAGGAGACCAGTGAGGATGACTCCAAGGAGGAGGAGGAGATGCAGGGAGTGAGGAGCTGTTTCTAATGCTTCTGGGGGTCAAGGCAGGTGTGAATGTGTCCAGTGGGCTTGGGGACGTGCAGGTCCTGGCCTCAGTGAGAACCATTTGGGAGGATGGTGGGAGGAGGGGAACAGCCAGGGCTGGACGGTAGGGCCGAGAACACCTCTAGCTGGCTCTTGGAATCCATGACCTCGAAACCACGACCTTGGCGCCCACTCACAGGCCCTGGGCCCGCCACACCTTCGGGTGCCCATGGGCGGCATTCCTAAGTCCTGACAGAATTCAACACCTGGCATTTTTCTTCCCTGTCTTCTCTCCCAGTGGGAAGCCTTCAGCCTTCCAGAACTGCAGAATTTCTTGCGGATCTTGGACAAGGAAGAAGACGAGCAGCTGCAGAGCCTGAAGAGGCGCTACACAGCCTACAGGCAGAAGCTGGAGGAAGCCCTCCGCGAGGTGTGGAAGCCCGACTAACGGCGCAGGCCCCCTGCCGCTCGGGCGCAGGATACTGATAAACCAGCAGCGAGTGTCTCTTCTCGGAGGGCTGTGTCCTTGCCCCGTGATGTGAGGGTCGTCCCCCTTCTGTCTCTAGATTTAGTTGCCCCACCTGGGCCGCAGCCTCCGCCCGCCGAGAGCCCTGGGGCCAGCTGTGCAGCCGCCGCCGCTCGAGGGCTTTGAAGCATGGACTGTGGGGTTTTGTTCTTATTTTCTTTTAGTTATTTTGACTATGTGATGATGATGTTAAGCTAAAGGATGTGCAAATGACTTTTAAAAAGCTTAACAAGGAATCTCTCTGATTACTTGTCCTATGTTGAAACTACCTGTCTGTGTTTATTTTTTTTAAATATCACAGGGAACACCCATGTGAATGAAAGGCACAGGAAGCTGGGAACTCTGAGGAATTTGCGAAGGATTTGGGGGGAGCTTGACATGTCAAGAAAGTAAAGCAAGTTTGGAAGAAGGCGTGAGTGAGGTTGGGGGAGTCCTGAGTGAGGGTGGTTTGGGCGATGAGTTGATGGTGGAGAAGAAGGTGTATTTGTACAGGAGGTAAAAGCACTCAGCTGTGAGGTTTGAAACCCACTGTAGGGCTGCTTGGTGTCTTGGCGAATAAAATGTGGGAACAGAGCCAGAGAAAGTAGGAGCGAGACCGCAGGAGGGACGTGGGGCTGGCGCTGACCGGAAAGTCAGCATTCCGCCAGGGGGCGGTCAGAGCAGGGCCGGCCTGGGCGCTGCCTTCCCGGGGGAGGGCGCAGCTTCTCGGGGCCGCGCAGGGACTGTTTGCTCACTCTCGTCGAGTTACAGCTTTTCCCTGAGCTTGTTTTCCAAGCTGAGCAGGCCTCTGGGCAGGGACCCCTGGTTCCCCCTGATTGTTGGTGGGAGATTTGTCCAATAAAGAGCTCACCACACACTTCTGTGACAATCAGCCCCTCCATTTCCCCTTTTCCTTCCCTCCTGTTCCTCCTTCCCTCACCCTCTCCCTTTTCCCACGCCCTTTCTCTTACAAATGGAAGTCTCCACATACGCAGTGGAGAAGAGGGTATGGATGAAAGACAGAATACTACCAGCGACTTGACCGAGAGGAAGGAGGCAAGAAAGGGCGGGCAGTCCACCCTGAGCCGACCGCAGGAGGGGCTCCTCATGGAAACCTGCTAACAAAAGTGCATGTTCCTACCAACCAAAGAAAAGCATGTGCAATAGAAGCCTCCCGTAGAGCAGGTTGAGTGACCGCATCGCAGGCAGCAGTTATCTGACAGCCACGGGAAAGCTGTGCTGTGGTTCTGGAGGGGGATTTGCAGTCTATTTTCTGTCTAGATATTTTTTGTTGTTTATAAATTCCCAAGGAATTGTTAACGCTTTGGTGACACCTAATGGATTCTTTGTGAAATTCCAAGGTGCTTTTAGTTCTTTGCCTTTTCAATGAACTGTGCCTTTTATTGCATTTGTTTCCCTCTCGGTGGCTCTTCTGTCGGAGAACACCCATCGCGTGGAGGCAGGTGTGATGCTGGTGATGCGCTGCCACGCGTATCACTGAGACAATCATATCTCCCGAGCTTTTCAGTGAAAGTTGGAAAAAAAAAAGGTAGAACTAGCTGTAACATATGTATGGCACACCTTGTTTAATTTTGCATGTAAGTTCTTTTTAGTGTATTGAGGTTTTAGTGTCGTTGTCATCCAACACTTTATTGTTCAGGGAATGCCATCATGGTTTTTATACTGGTTTTACTATTCAGACTATCACTTGAGTTTGAGTCTAGTGTTATCAACCTCCTGGTCTTTTCTTTACCCATCCCAGTAGGCTTATTATATTTTGTGAAGCATTTGTTTCTCAGATTAAGACACTGTTAGAACCAAATGTAGTAGCTGATGGGTATCTGTGAATTTTTTTTTTTTTTTTACTTGAAGTAGATTGTCTTTAATAGAGATCCTCGGACCTGTATCCTCCAGAACCTTGTTCATTGTCATGGGCACGACAAGTTGCAATTCGGAAAACTTAGGGCATTGAAATTCTGTCAGCTCATGGTTCATGGGGACTGATGCTCTCCCCCAAACACTGGCTACTGCAGCGTTGGCTGTGTGGTTAGTGTGTAAAAGAAGGGCCACAAAGGCCACCAGTTTTTAAAAGTCATTGTGCAGATTCTTATGTTAAACTGTCTAAGCTTTGCTGTAATACTGTTTTCTCTTCAGCACGTGATGGTACAGGAATGATGTCAAATGAAGGGGGAAGTATTGCGGGGAGCATTTTAAATCGCAGGCGTAAAAAGTTATAATATTTATAATTTTGATGAGTTTAAGTTTATTTTTATAGGGAGGATTTTTCTTCCCTAAAATTGTTTTTGGAATGGCAATTTGTTTCCATTATTAAAAGCTGATTTGTCAGTTGATATGTGTGTGTTTTATTTATGATGCTGCACCGGAGTGGGAGGAGCTTCTTTCGCAGATACATGGGGACACATGCTGGAGTGTGACTTTTACTGGGTTTGAGTGGGGCACATTTGTTCTCTCAAGTGTCATTTTTCCATTGCCTTATTCTTCGGGGAAAGTAACCCTAGCTGAGTGTCTGCCCATGTAATACATCCCTAAGGCAGCCCTGGCCGGTTTGGCTCAGCGGTTAGAGCATCGACCTGCGGTCCTGAGAGACCCGGGTTCGGTTCCCACTAAGGGCGCGTACCTCGGTTGCAGTTTGTCCCCGGCCCTGGTCGGTCGTGCGGGTGGCAGCCACTCGATGTGTTCCTTTCACATCGATGTTTCTCTCTCTCTCTCTGTTCCTCTCTCTCCCTCCCACTCTACCTGAACATCCCTAAGGCAGATTATTTTCATTATGAGATATGCATACCTTCATAGTATATAAAGCATGTGAACAGTTTAAAGAATTATTAAAAAGTGGGGCACCCTCTGGCTACTACCAAAATAGAACATTGTAGGTTCCTTAGGTATCTTCGCCCTCTATCCCCCCATCCTACCCCTGAGGTCTCCCACCCTTGAAACAGACCACTTTCAACATACAAGTATTTCTATTTTGGTCAACGTGACCGTCTCACATGGCTGGGGAGTGTTTGGTGGTCAACAGCGGTGACTGACTGGGCCCCCCATCCCCCCCCAAATCACTACCCTGTGCACCACCATCTTCCCTTCTTAGGCCTCCAAGCCTGCTGTAGTGTTTTACTGCTGCACTGCCCCCTAGTGGCACTGGTGAAATAAGCAAGGTTACCTGATGGGGGTGGGGGGGTGGGTTTCAAGTACCTGTATAATTGAAGTGAAAATATAATAGAAAATGATGGCTTTATGTGGAGTTCCTTTTTCACTGAAATATCCAGAGGAATCTAATTTGGGAGGCCAGCTTTATTATCCAAGGTGCAGGGGGATGTTTTGAAATTTTTGTTCCTTAAAGGGAATCCGCTTCCTGCCCTAGGCTTCTCTTCAGAATTTGTCACTGGTTGCAAAATCAGTTCTCAAGAATTGTGTGCTATGTCTGGGACTCTGTCAGATGATCCCAATTAGGGGTTTTGTGTTTTTGAAAGGAGGGATAGTCGCTATGGGATATTTAAACAAAGGGCTCACTGTGTGCCAGGCATTAGTGAAAAAAGTTTAACGTGTATGATCATCCCCCCCCCCCCCCACTTTGCAGGTGAGGACACAGACGCATGTTGAGGTCCAGCAGCTGCCCGCGGCCCCTCTGAGTGCGCCAGGCCGGGTCCCGGCGGCTGGGTGGCTCTGCCTCTCCATCCTCCTTTCCTGGAGCACATCCCAGTTTTTCCGTTACACTGCTTATTCAAACTGCCTTTTTGGTTGCCTGTACTGGGCAGTTCATCTGAAAGCAGGCCTCTTTTGGGGTAGTTGGGATTTATGGGAAATGAAAGAACAGCCTTGATGTCAGAATATGTTAATCATCTTTTTGTTGTTCATTTAGCATTCTGTTTACGTGATTATGTTAAGTTACATGGAGTGACACACCTACCTGTGTTTTCCTTTGCAGGTTCTGTTGCATGGGAGAAGCTGACAGGGCGTGTGACCGAACCCAGGGTTCTTCCTGCAGTTAGCAAGACCACCCCCTGGACCCACCAGAAGAGCTTCAGAGTTCAAAGTTCTGGAATAGCCCCCAAACACGAGCAGGGCTGTAGTTTTACTCCCCATCAAGGATCATCCTCTTCAAAGGAACACGGGGAACTAAGTATTTAAAGTCTTTAAAGTATACTCCTGTCTGGTGTGAATCACTACTTGCTTATAAGTGTTCGAGAGAACAGCTTCCTATAAGGACCGGTCGGGGGGTGGAGCAGGGGGAGAGGAATGGACGTGATAAAAACTGAAGAGTTCTGGGTTTTGTTTTGTTTCTTAGTTAGTGGCTTTTGGTTTCATTTTGTTTCGTTTTTTTGGCAAATTTTCCCTTTACAAGGTGAGAATGACCGGGTGGAGGACAGACCCTTTTTGATCTTCAGTAATGGTTTCCAATGACAGTGGTGCTTCTCAGGTTTGGCTGAGGTAGCACTTGGCAGCGGCTGAACTCCAAAAGCTCTCCCCTCTTCTCTTTTCCAAGAAAAGTGAGTATTGGGATTTTTAAATGCTTGCGCACAAATACAGAACATACGGTCTAAGTCTGGGTTTGACTTTGTTTTGGGAGGGAGTTCTGTTAACCAGGACGGTTCGTGTTTATCTTTCTAAACAAGGAGCCTTACCTTTGATGGGCCTGGATCTTGAGTGGCGCAGATCTGGGGCGTCCGCACCCTCCCCTCGCTTGACCCGCCTTTATGGACACATGGGATTGATTAAACCCTGTGCGGTTCCTTTTTGAAGTGGAGTTCTAGGGGGCTCTGGTCTAGAGGGCTTTCTGATCTTGAAGTGCCGTAAAATTCGCTTCAGTCCTAGGCGTTCCGGAGCAGCAAACTGTAGTCTTGCCAAAACTTAGACTCCTCGGATTATTACGAGGGTAGGTGGGGAGGTAACAGCTCGTATTCTAATCTTTTACTCCGAACTATAAATGATGTCTTCATATTCTTTTCAAAATGGTAAACATTTCAAATGTTTTTTCCTGCCTGTGTGCTCTCTTGGGTAAAAGGATCAAAGCCAGTGTTTTTTAGGTGAAATCGAGCCTGTCTTCTGATGCCCTTATCAATAAGAGATGCTTGTCTGAGAACACGAGGGCGGCTATAGACATCAAGGAACTTGGGGCTCAGCCTTCTGAAAAGTCCACGTTCCGTTGCCTTTCTCCCAGATAGACGTTCTCCGGGAGTTCGCTCCTGTCAAGGAAACAACCAGCTAGTGGCAGGGGTGTGGGTGAGGCCACGGACGACGTTTCTGCCCCATGTCACCTCGTGCTCTCCTCTTCCAGTTCGCTCTTTAGAATTTTGTTCTTTTGCAAGTGATGTGATCAATCCAGCAGGTCTTGCAAAAGTTATTTGTTATGAAGGTGGTAGTTGGGAAAGGGCAATGTTTAGGATCCGTTGAAAGAGATTGCAAGACAAAAAGATTGCATTGAAGTGTTTCCTGACAAAAAGTTGTTAATTTGTGCCAAAGAGTTGTGAGTTCTGTATATTCCTAATTTTGCCTAGTTTCTGAAAAGCTTGACAGATAAATGCTAGTGCTACTACTGCTACTGATTTCTCAGTTATCTGCAGCATATAGCTTTAATGCTTAGGGTCAGTAATATTCTAACAACATTTAAGCTTACTTTCATATTAATAGACATATAGCAGGGTTTATACTTATTAAATGAGAATTATTATGGTTCCTCCCTGTCTCCCCCCTTTTTTCTCTTTCCCAGCCAATGGCTCGGAACTAATTGTAGAACGTATTTGAGGAATACATGTATCTGGTTACTGTCAGGCTCTATATCTGTATTCTCTTTTTTTATTATTTTATTTTTCTTTATTGATTTTAGAGAGAGAAAGGGAGAGGGAGAGAGAGATAGAAACATTGATGAGAGAGAACATTGATTGGCCGCCTCCTGCATGCCCCTCACCGGGGATTGGACCCACAACCTGGACATGTGCCCTGACTGGTAATCAAACTGGCGACCTCTTGGTGCCTGGGTCGACACTCAACCACTGAGCCACATCAGCTGGGCTGTATCTGTGTTCTTATAACCATCCTTTAAAAAAAAATTTTCACTTTGTGTTAGTTTGTGCTGTTCATTGCACAAAAAGAAACTTGAGTGAGTAGAACACCAAGTGACTTAATTTCTTTCATTCAACAAATATTTATAAATCACCCTGAGGATGTTAGTATTCTGTAGATTATGGTGAGAAAGAACATCATGACCCTTGTCTTCTGGAAACCGGAGTCCACCTGTAATGCACACTGGTAGGTGTCATGAAGATCAAGTACAGAGGGTCGGGAGAGTGTAGGAGGCTGGAGGAGACATCCTCGAGATGGAAGTGATTTAGAGCTGAGCTCTTCAGGATGAGTAGTTACCAAGCAGAATTCATGAACTTCCATGAAAATCTCCTGTGTGATGGGGCTGGTTCCCGTGGTCTTTGGCGGCATGTTATACCCGTGTCCCTCTTGCTGCTTCTCCTCCGTTACGAGACAAGAACTTGAGAGCTGAATAACTCTCCCTAGGTAAAGAGTTAAAACTTTGGCAGGAGCCAAGTTAAAACTTAAAATGGCCGTTGCTGTGAATCAAACCCAACTTTTTTTCCCTGTGAAGTGTTTGCTAAGCTCACAGGGCTGATGTGAGGACCAGTAGGACGGTGAATGTGAGGGCGCGTTGTACACAGCAAAGCCCGGTGCAGTGCGGGCTGGTGTTCTCCAAGCTCCTGTTCCTGCAGGGGTGCTAACGGCTGCTCTGCCACTGGGCCAGGGCGCTGGGAGCATCACCGAGGATGATGCACTTGCCAGGAGGGACATTCTTCTGAGCGGAAACTTGTTGTTGTTAAACTCAGGCTTAGGGAAGGAAGTGGAGTTATAAGCAAAACACTCAAGATTCTAGGGTGATTGGTAGATCAAGAAGTCAGTTTTCGCCCTGGCCGGTTTGGCTCAGTGGTTAGAGCGTCAGCCTGCGGTCCACAGAGACCCGGGTTCGGTTCCCGCTAAGGGCACGTACCTTGGGTGCAGTTTGTCCCCGTCCCTGGTTGGGTCGTGTGGGTGGCGGCCACTCGATGTGTCCCTTTCACATCGATGTTTCTCTCTCTTCCTCTCTCTCCTTCCCGCTCTATCTGAGTAAAAAATGGAAAAATGTCCTCGGGTGAGGATAAAAAAAAAAAAAAAAGTCAGTCTTCTTATCTTCCCTAGCGCTCCCCATAAATACAGTGGAAGAGCGTCGCCTCTCTTCTTCTGACAAGTTAGAGCCAGCTGCTCAGAGCAGCTGGGTCCAGGGCATGCCCGAGAGCGATGCTGAGACCTCCAGGCACGAGGGCCACAAGTAGGAGCAGTCTGGGGGCCTCCACCTCATCTCTGCTCAGTGTTGTCATGCATGTGCCTTTCCCCCCCAAGTAATCTTCTGGACCGTATCTTCAGCTCCTTTGTCTTTCTCCCAGCTGCAGGGCACCTCTGCGGGACTGAACGTTTCATAGACCTGTCTGGAAACAGCCACTCGTGCTGCTTTGAGACAGGAAGGGGCCCCTCTTCAGGATGAGCCTGAGCTGCAGCTTCTTGAAGCCAGTGTTCACCCCCTGCTGAACTCGGAACCGGGGCCCTCCGTGGCATTGCGGGAGGACTGGGGCCCCAGTCTGTCTGCCCCAGCTGGGCAGAGCACCAGAGGTGGCCCCGGGGGTTCATTTTCTGTGGAACTATCTGTAAAAGCATAGTCGAGGCTGCCCTGTTAGATTGTCAGTAGTCACTCATTCCAGACTGCTACAAGAATCCAGGTCTCGGGTTCATCTCAGACCTAATAAAGTTGCTGCTCCCTGCTCTGGGAGGTGCTGGGACATAGGGGCTCGGGAAGAGACATGCACAGAGCGGCCACTTTCTTGGGGGACGTATGCAGGAACAGAATCAGTTGCTCTTCTGAGCTCTTTTCCCGGCTTTGGGCCGAGGCGAGGGAGTGGTGGTGACTGATGAGCTTGATTTGGACAACAGGTGCCTCGGCCACGAAGCCGGAACCAGAGTCCTGCCGCCGCAGCTGCGGAGCTGCTCTGCCCTGTGCTCTCCCCCGCACTAGCTGTTGAGTAAGGAGACCCCCGGAGAGAAGACTGGATTTGTGACTGGAGCCTGCCAGCCAAAGGGAGGCCATTAAAATATTTTCCAACATGTGCTGAGAACATTTTAGCAGCCATTCCAACAAAGAAGCTTCTACTTGGTATTAGTAACAATAGCTGGGAACCAGGGTTTGTTTGTATTTTTCAAGCATGTAATGTTCATGACTCCCTCCCCCGCACTGCACCCTTTGGAGGGAAGTTGAGCCTTGACCATGAGACAGCTTTGCCCTGTCCACGGTGGCTACAGTTGGATAGGTTTTGACAAAAGGCTTGCCCCAGTTTTTCTCTTGGTAAACTAGCTTCGGTCATTACCTTATTCATGTATTGCTGCATGACAAATTACTCCAAAATCAGCAGCTAAAAACAACATTAATATTTTATCACGTGGTTTCTGTGGGTCAGTAGTTTGGAGTAGGTTAGCTGGTGGTTCACTTGGGGGGCTCTCAGGAGTGAAGATGTTGGCTGGGGCTGGATGTAGTCATAGGTACCCTTGACTGGGCTTCTGAGACGGCTCGCTCACATGGCTGGCCAGCTGGGGCTGGTCGTTGGCAGTAGTCCTCAGACCACCACAAAGACCTCGGCGGAAGTGGCCATGTCTTTTATGATCTAGCCTCAGAAGTCACAACGTCACATTGGCCCTGTCCTACTAGGGACACGTACCAACACTGATGCATTGTGGAAGGGCGCACACAGGGTCATTAGGAACCATCTTGGCTTATCACGGCCATGCTGGAAATAGTTGATGAGGTGGAGAAGCACTGTATTTTGATTTATCTTCCAGCAGCCATGCCATGAAGTGGGACGAGAAGCCACTTGAATGGTAGCGGCACCTCCCCTTCTTAGTCTGAAACTGAAGTTGCCCTGTAATTGGAGATGTCAGGGACTAATTTTTTCCTCTTTTCGGTGTGTTAGTATTTGCTCTATAAATTGAGGTCTCATCTCCTCTTTTGGGGGCATAAATATGAACGTTATGTCTTCTTGTTGGATTGATCCCTTTATCATTATGCCAGTGCTCTTTGTCTCTGATTTGTTTTTAAAGTCTAATTTTGTTTTGATTTCCATTTGTATGGAGTATTTTTCTGTTCCTTCACCTTCATTCTGTATGTGTCCTTACATCTGATGTGAGTCTCTCGTAGGCAGTAAGGTATAGATGGGTCTTGTTTTTTTTAATCGGCCATTTTGTCTTTAAAAAAATTTTTTTTTTCATTGATTTGAGAGGTAGGGAGAGGGAGATACAGAAACATCGATGAGACAGAACATCAAACTGGCTGCCTCCTGCATGTCCCTCACAAGGGATTGGGTCCACAACCTGGGCATGTGCCATGACCGGGAATCGAACCAGTGACCTCTTGGTGCATGGGTTGGTGCTCAACCACTGAGCCACACCAGCCTGGCAGCCATTCTGTCTTTTAATTGGAAAATTTAGCCCATTTACATTTAATTAATGATAGGTATGTACTTATTGCTATTTTGTTTTCTGACTGTCTTGTAGTTTCTCTCTGTTGCTTTTTTTTTTCTTGCTCCCTTCCTTTGTGGTTTGATGACTTTCTGAAGTGGTATGCTTAGGTTCCTTTACCTTTTGTTTATATACTATAGGTTTTTGCTTTGTGGTTACCTTGAGGTTATATAACAACTTGTGATTGTAATAGTCTATTTAAGTTGGTGACAACCTAATTTTGAACATATGCTAAACCTCTGCATTTTTACTTCCCTTTTTATGTGTTTGGTATCACATTTTGCATCTTTTATATTGTGGATCCCCAGGCACTTATTGTAGTTATATTTACTTTTGTCTTTTATCCTTCATACTAACTTTATAAATGATTAACCCACTACTTTTTAGTATATACAGGGTGTTCCCCCCAAAATGTATACAGGGTGTCTGTAGATTCTATTACATTTTGAAAGTGAAATGTATTTTAATAAACACTAGCTTTATAATTATACTTTTTTGAGTATTTTTTTGGGGACACCCTGTATTTACCTTTACTAGTGAGATTCATTTGTCTTCTTGCTACTTAATAGCACCCATTCTTTTCAGCTTAACAAGTCCCTTAAGGCTGGTTTAGTGGTGGTGAGAGTTTTCTTGCCTGGAACTTTTCCCTTCAGTTTTGACTAACTTTGCCAGATAGATTATTCTTGGTTGGAAGTTTTTCCTTAAGTTTTCTTCAATGTATATAATGTCCTGGAGGTCAGGAGTAGGATGATTCCCGTTCATCATTCACTAGCAGGCGGAGTAGGCTCTCAGATATGACAGAGGGAAAAACCCTTCGTAGATCAGACAGCAGTTTAACAGAAAGATGGCTTTGAAGCCAGGTCTTTGAAATCCTGACTCTTAATTAGCTTTGTGAGCTTGGATAAATTAAGCTGACGTAGAAACTTATCTTGCAGAGCTATTTTTACCATAATAAATACTAATTACAAGCATCCTGTGTGTCTGTCTGCCCTTTGAGGACCTGTCAGCATGTGTCAGAGCTGCAGGTTGAGAGGATGTCTAGGGTCTCGGGTCTCCCGGGCAGATGGTGGTCAAGCAGGCTTCCTCTCAAAGACCAATATTCAGGGTGGCACCTACTCCCTGGTACTCTCGGGGCTCGCTGCTACGTCCCATGTTAAAATCCCGTCGTTCCTAGGCCGTCAGTCGTGGTCTCAGCCACAGTGCCTTCAGCCTGGGGCCTTCGGTTCTCTGGCTGGCTGCTTTGCCGCAACAGACTTCTAGGTATGCACAGGACAGCCCTTTAAACCCACTGCTGGTAGAGAGATGAAACAGGCTAATTCTGTAGGAAATTTGGTTCTGCAGGGTAGGCTCAGTGGAGTAGGTGGGATAAATTAGGAAAAACAATCTGGTAGAGTCTGTGCTTGACCTTGGTCTGTGAGTGTGTGGAAGTTAACTTGCTTCTTTTTCTTATTGATGGTTTCACATTGTGATATACCCAAATCACCCGTTTTTCTGGTAGTAATCTGGCAACTTTATGGGAGTCTTCTAACATCTTGCTTTTCTACTTGGCCTTCATAATTTAAAAAAATTTTTTCTTTATTGATTTTAGAGAGAGAGGGAGAGAAACATCGATAAGAACATCAACTGGCCGCCTCCTGCATGCCCCCATGGGGATTGGGCCCATAACCTGGGCATGTGCCCTGACCGGAAATTGAACCGGTGACCTCTTGGTGCATGGGTCGATGCTCAACCACTGAGCCACACTGGCTGGCCTGCCTTCATAATTTATAAGATATAAGGCAACCTATTAGGTCCGGGGGTTGACAAATAATGTCCTACCTGTTTCTGTAAAGTTTTGTTGGAATACAACCACTCACTGATTTAAGTGTTTTTGTAGCACAAACCGTACCCCTAGTTAGAGTTTAGTTGCAACAGAAACCACATGGACTATGAACCTAAAATATGAACTTTTCCTTTCAGAAAAGTTTTTCAACTTCCATATGAAGTTATCTGGAGCAATGATCACATAACTGGACCTCAAGGCAGAGCACCTTCGAAGGTGAGCTACGGTTATTTCATTTAGAGCCAGCCGAGGTAAAATGTTTTTCTCCAAAGCTGTAAATGCGTAAAGATGTGTCCGTGGGGTTTTCTACATGGTGCGCATTCAGGGGCTCCCCCAGCAGGGACGGCTCTTAGCACCCGATGTGGAAACCACCCATCTCCAGTACTAGTGAGTGATTAGAACATGAAATAGCATCAAGAAAGCTTCTTGACAAAATTACTCTTTGTGGACTGAAACAAAGGACACATTTCCACTAGAACAGAAATAAATTTTAATTCGTTGAAAAGTGCAGCAGTGAACAGGGTCCTTTGAAGGTCACTTTCTAAGTCAGATGACTGAAATGACATAGAACCAGGCAAAGTAACTTCTAGAAACAGATGATGCAAACAAAGGAATTCACAGACTCCAGTGGGAAGAAGGTGGTGGAAAAACTAAAGAACCCAAACATTCCCATCTAGTTTCATTGGTGGGTCAGGTGAAATACCTTCGCTTAATAAGGATCCTGGGACAGTTCTTTCGTTAAAAAAGCACTAGTCCTTAATTTAGACACTTAAACATAAATTTAAGAACACGTTTTAATACATTAAGGTATAACTTCCATGCCTAATTATTTTGTATTGACCAAAAAAAAAAAAAGACCAAAATATGTATTTTGCAACAGCACCATTGGTCGAATTAAAAAATGTTCAAAAGGTGTTACCTGTTTGGTGATTGTATTTGAGGAAGAGCTTTATAATAGGAATGAATAGAATTTGCCTTGTAAAGTGCCCTCTGTTCATTACTAATGGGAATATAGTTCTCTACTCTGACGGCACCAACAGACATGGACCTGGCTTTTCTAGAAGAGAAAATAATCCCCTCAGTACAATCAGGCCAGCCTCCGGCAGCCGCCGCCTCGCGCACAGACACTGAAAGATGGTTTAGCACAGATCCAGAATGCAGCCTGTCTGGGAGAAAGTCAGATCAGAGGCCATTCAGCAGACAGATGGGAACTGCATCCCCATCACCCACACAGAAGCCTGCTGACGTGTGTATCACCTGCTGACTTTACCTGCTTTCAGGAACCAGCATCATAAAATGAATTAGTTGAATAATATGACATCACAGTACAAGCCCTGGTGAGAGTTGGTTTCTTTTTATTCGGGAATAACTATGGTCAACTTTCATTAATGTGGAAATTGACTGAGTAATGTTAAGAATCAAAAGTGTAGAATAAAGCAAAACCCATATTCAACATTGTAGTTTGCTTTTAGTTACAAATTTTCTTTCCCTAAAACATTCACAGCAGAGGTGGTCATTTCATTTGCCTATTTCACCTCTAAATACCACCCAGTAACAGGACTGCATGAGGAAAAGGAATAAACCCAATGGCTATTAACTGACCATGTCTTACAAAGTGCTTTCAAGCTCAACCCTAGGTCAAGTGAAAATCACTACTGCCTGAGTTGAGCGGTTACAAACCACAGCTCTTCCTCCTGCCCTCCCACCACCGGGTTAACCTTCTTGTGGAAACAGGACTGGTCTCCGAGCCAGGAAACAAAAACACAGGTGCTCTAAATAGTGGGGAAACCTCAACAAGGTGATGAGAATAGTGAATATGGGGCCCAAATTACACGAGACTCCAGAGAGTCAGGAAGAACTAATCTGAAAGGGAAGATGGTAGGGCAAAGTGGCTGATACTTTGCATCAACTGTAAGAAATTTTTGTATCTTAATGAATGAACAGAATGTCAGCAAAATGCAATGAGTCAAAACAACTTCACACGAGGGACTGAAACCCAGATTCCCTGCTGGACAGGCACTTACTACATCTCAACTTGAGTGCCCTCTCTACAGAAGACCCTCAGAAAACACGACCTTCCCCAACCCTTGAAGTTCTTGCCCTCTGTTGAGAGCAGAGACATTCCCTCAATACCCCTGGTGCGCCATGTGGTTAGCAGCCATCGCCTTCAACAACTACCTGGAATGAGCCTTTACCTAAAGCTTCCTGTTCCATTTCAGTGCAGTACCAGCCTAGAAACCAAAAAATGAACAGAGCTTGGTTGACATGTTTTAAATTTGTGACATCACATTGTGACTGGATAGCTATTATAAACAGTATATTTCTGCTACTGTGAAAACAATGGTACTTCTTCTTAATCCGATGATTTAGTTCTGATAGTTATTCTTCAAGCCATGTGACGTTAGTATTTAGTGAAGTGCTCAATCTGAAATGCTATGCAGGTCCTTTGATTTTAGGTCAAGCTGTATACCAAAGACACTGGCATTTATCTGAACAGACTTTCAGGCTTGGACATCTGGGGAGCCATCAAGAATTGGAGCCCCAGGACAGAAAGGGCATGGTGAGGACAAAGACCTCAGGAGCAGTCGTACCAGCTGAATGGAGGGACCAGGGACAGCCACTCCTGACGTACGGGCCGAGTTCACAGTTTAACACATTGCACTAGGTGGCCGGCAGATTGGATTGCTTTTTAAAACAGGACTTACAACAAAGCCAGTCCAGAAACTCTCCAGGTGTGGTCTTGAAGACTAGCTACAGATGCCTACTACAGTCACTTCATCAGAAAGAGGCGTGCAGGGGCTCAGCTGCAGAGCTCACTACAGGAGATGTTTTGAAAACCTTCGAGTCCTGCCACCACCATAATTGTTGAACATGAGACGAGGGTCAAACCTGTATCTGGGGAGGAAGAATGAAAGGATGTCCCATTAACTGTAGTTAGCCACTGAGCACTTCATTCAGAATGCCAAGTGGAGGGGAAGGGATATCAAAGGAACAGCACACCGCCTGAAGGGAAGCCAGTGGTGCAGTGTGCATACACAGCAGAGGTACTTAATACTAAGGGCCTTTCCACCCAAGTCAGCCGGCACCCAACAGGCAGGAGGAGAGGAGAGGGGACGAGAGATGGAAGTAAGGTTGATCTGGGAAGGCGCTGGGAAGGAGGTATGATTTGAGCTGGGGTTTTTTTTAGGAGGAAGGGGGTGACCCTAAGGTATAAAGCAGCCTGATGGAACAGAACTACCAGTGGTCTCAAAGCCCTTGTTCAGTTCAGGCCCAGACTGTGATGGGCAAGAGCACAGGTATGTACCTCAGACATGAGTTTGAATCATTATGAACTTAGGTAAGTCATTAACCCCTCTGGCCACCAATAAAATAGTAAGGCAATTTATGTACAGTATCTGGCACATAAAATAGCTTACTTCACCACCCATGGGAAAGTTAGCGTGAATGCCAAATGGTAACGTGAGCTGAGCCTTGGCAAACAAGGAACATAGATGGGCTGGAAAGATTTTACATGTATGTAAAGGCTAGAAATAACATTGTATTTTACTTTTACCTGCTATCTCTTAGGATAAACTAATCGTTACTATTTTAGAGCAGAGGCTGGCCAATTTTTTTGTAAAGGGCCAGATAATAAATATTGTAGGGCTCGTGGGCCATTCTGTCTCTGTCCCAACAACAGTGTCACTGAAGGGTGAAAGCAGCCACACACGATGCTTACAGGAATGTGAGTGGCTGTGTTCTAAGTGGTGCTGGCTGGGTTGAGCCTGGGGGATTCTAGAGGCCTAAGTGTTTGGTAGGAGAGAGTAAGCTATGGCTAAGGAGTTTAAAAGAAAACGTGTTCTATTTCTCTGCTCATTCATATACATTCCTCTCGAATTTAGACTGAAGAACCACTTCATGGAAAGATGGATAAATAATATTACTACTTTTCCTTGGCTTAAGATACCTATCAATCTTCCCTCTCCTATAATCAGACAGTAAGATGGCAGGTTCGCCACAGGCAGCCCAGCGCACGCTGTGCTGAGCCGGGTCAGCGGTGGCCAGTTCCTGTTCTCGAGCAGTTAGGGGAGTGGGGGGAACGCAGCTGCCGGTGTACGTGCTAGTTACACATCTCTCCTTTCTCTGGATACTGCAGTGACTTACATATTTCAACATTTGAGGGTTTATACCTTCTGATCCATTGTCTGTATTTAATACATTAAATTCACTGGCAAGTACTCATGTTTCTATAATTGGGTTTCTGAGAACCGGAATGAAGCATATGCTCTCAGAAGTGCCAGGGAGCAGGCTAGCACTTGGCCAGTGCTGCTTAAGAAGCCCCAGGTGTCACCACTGCAATCAAGTGGTGCCTTGACAGGAATCCCAGCCAGGATGGGAGGCAGGGGAGCCCCAGTGGTGAGGAGCGGGGCTAAGCCCCCAACCAAAGAGTGAACCTTTCAAACAGCTTATTTGCCTAGCACACAGGCTGATGCGTGAGACACGGGATTCCCACTAAAGCGGAGGAGAGACACAGCACAAAGCAAAAAGGGCCCATCCAGCTCCCCTGCCTTCCAGAACAGCACAGCTGCGCCAGACAACTTGGCAAAGTCACTGAAGAAAATGGAAACTTACCCGGGGTCAAAAACCCCCGGAGTGCGACAAGTTGGTCCAGAACAGGACTGTAACATCATCAGCCGATAGTTCATCTTTCCTAAAAGCTCCGGGTCTATACTTTTAGCAATGTTGGTGATTTGGTGTGGGTCTGCAGTCAGGTTATAGACTTCTACAAACACCTACAGGAAACGAGAACGGAGGGAAGAAGAGCAAGGGGCTACATTTAAAGAAATACTCGTGTGAATTATTTCTAAATGGGGAGGGAGGAGGTAGACAACACCGAGGCCCAGGAGAATATCATCTGGTTTCAAGATTCTCAAAGAAAAAAAGGATCCTCCAAAGCCCAGGGGTACACATGAGACAGCGGAGCATCTGTTCTGGGGATTGAATTGCTTCAGTCTATGGCCCACATGCTGCAAAGGGGCCTTTTCAGGCAGAGTCGGGAGCGGGCAGAGGGGTGGTTGTTACTTGCTGTAATTAAAGCAGACAGAAGGCACGGCCCTCAAGTGGCCAGGTCTCAGAAACTAGATTTAGTAATGAAGTTCCTGAATGGGAGCTAACATTTGAAGGTTTATTTTTGCTTTAGAACTGTGAAGAGTCAAATGACGATAGCCAAGTACTCCAACCTGTGTTATACAATGTTAGGTTTCCCTATTTTAAAAAGCAGTTTTGGACACACTGCTAAAGGATACAATGCTATTTATTTCTAATATCAGACTGTCTAATATCACTATTTCCCCCCAATCTGCACTTTGTTCTCCAAAATGGAGTCAGGTAATACTAGGAAGACGGTAGGGCAATTTTGCCTGTAACAGCTTCAAATGGCTGCCCTTAGACCACCGCTCCTAAAATAGTCATCACACTGATAAAGATTATGGGGGAAGAGGAACAGGAATTGGGTTGGAGGGGAGCTCTCTTGCCTGTTGTATAAAGCGCTTATGAACTACAAGCAAATGGCGAGTGAGTCAGTTTCTGAAATGCGATGAGCGTTGGCTCCATATGGCCAAATGTGGGGTGCCAGATGGGGAGCTGAGCACCTGCTGATAGAGTATGACACCACAGGGACTAGAGTCCACACTGATCTGCTGGCCGAGAGCCACCTTCTTCCAAGGATGGCGCTCCTGTCCTGCCTCGGACCCCCACGGCTGATCTACTTGAGCAGCACCAGACTGTGCTGAGGTGGGGACGGTAGTTTCGGCACAAGTTGAGGTGCCTGACCCTCACCCCAAACTGGCAGGGAAGCAGCATTCTGAAGTGACCTGTGCATTTAACAGGTATGTCTGGGTGGGGGTGGGAGTGGAGCGCCTCATCCAGAAAGGCGGCCGAGAATTCCCTGGGGAACTCTATCTCTTAGCTGAAGGAAGCTTCGCGGACGTATTAGTAAGAACTATCCTCCCTGGGAGCATCTTTGCAGCTACTCTTCTGCCACCAAGTCCAGCCAAGAGAGCGCTGGTGGCAGATGTGGGTGGGCTGGGAGGCAGCATCTCACCTCCTGGTCATCAAACTCGCAGTACTGTAGATTCCACAGGGCTGACATGGTCCTCACACAGGCATACGTGTTGTTATAAGCATCTTCACACACACAGTCTGGGAAACATTGCTGTAGGGATATTTAAAAAGTTAAATGAAGGCAGTTCTTATAGTAACAATTGCCTGCCTACAGGGGCAACCAGGTTGGCTCAAACCAGACATACAATGGAGAGAAAGTAGGAAACCTTCCAGAGAAGTGAATCAGAGCTGGGTGTGCTGGCTGACGTGACTACGGCACGTGGTTGTGGTTCTGTCTGTAGGCTGTTGCCATCCCTGGCTGCTCATCTCCTGACGAGGATAAGCTATAAGGGGCCCCTGTAAAAGGTATGGTTGGAAGGAGAGGAAATCGATACTCAAATGAGTCACTTCTAAGGTATATTAGGAACTGCCATCCTAAAGGGTTGGGGAAAAAAATGCTAAAATGAGCTTTGTGGAATCATCTGTCGGTAAGGTATTTCTGAGCGTTCTTATCACCAAATAGGACTTAGAAAATTCTGATTTCTTCAAGTCTTCCATACCAACTTTTGATTGGTTCTTAACTATTGTAACACCTTGGTGTGAGAAGAGTCAACTCCCAAGTGAGGCCAACATTGCCGTGACCACCTCATGACCAGCCTGGCTGCCACCAATGCAAGACACTTGTGATAGCATGGCCACGGGGGAAGCCTGTCTCTCGTGGGTGCCACTGATTACATCCCTAATAAAAAACAGTACTGCTATCGGGAAGGGGAGGAAAACAGGAAGGGGTATTGATTAATAAAGTAAGAATGTGGGCAGGTACATGTACTTGTTACAAAACCTGGTAGAATTCAAAGTGCACATTCTGACAGGTCAGCAGCAGGATTTCCCCCCCTATTTTTAGGATTATTGAGTTAACTTTTGTGTATCTACTAATCTTCCACTGTCAAGTGACAAAGTCAGGTGACAGAGAAGCAGGACTCAGATGAAGGCTTTCAGTACTCGATACACCTGAACAGATGTCCTGCTGAGCTGTCAGAAGGCTGTCCAGGCCGGCTCAAACCATTACTCACAGACACTCCAGGGCTCAGGGAAGGACATGTTGGGTCGGTGACATTACGACCTTCTCCTTGATATTCCACCAGGACATCTGATCGCCAAGTCACATTACTGGCACCTCTCTAGAAAGAGCAAAAGTGGTTCCTGTGAGGCATACAGACTGAAAAGGTCACAGTTATTCTTCTGTTAAGGGGACCTGGCCGTCAAAGTGAATTGGACTGTTCACTCAGTAACTTAAGGGATCAGCTAAAACAGATGCATATGAAGGCTACTGATATCTTATAGAGCCCTTGCAAGTGATGGTCAAATGCTTTGAGCATTTATAGCTCCCAAGACTACTTTGAGGCAGGTCAGGAATGGAAACCAACCAAGTAGCTAAGCGAGAATTGGTCATAGTGCAAGGTGCTAAAGTTCGGGTGAGAACAATCCTGTCCACAAACTGTAAGAGCTAGTCCAGGCTGGTACTAAGAAACTTACAGCTTAATACACACAAGGACAGGGACTCAAACACTTAACAGGGCTGTGCTAAGGATGGTAACAGGTTCAGAGTACTCTGTGATGGTCAGGATGAAGACACCATACACGCATGAACTTGTGGGGAGGGTAGTAAAACTGATATAAGACCAAGTTAATAAGAGAAAAACCAACTTAATATGTGTGCATGGGAGAACCACATATGATACTAATCATAAAATGAGGCTCAGAGACATGACTGAACTAGGCACCCTTTTTTACTTTTTAGACAAAAAATGAATTTGTGAGAAAGTGACAGGACAGATAAAGTTAGTGCTTATTAGAAAGGAATCTAAGCAAGGTCGGGTGTCGGGTGTTCTTTAGTGAGGAATCTAAACCAAGCTGGGGCCTGGGTAGTAACTGCGTAAAGGCGGTACAAGGCTTGTGACTCTGGGTTCTTTTTACTTGTCATAAGGTTGTCCCCTGGCCCTCAGGAGCAGGGAGGGCAGCTGTCACACGGACAGTCACTTGCTCTCGGGGATAGGGAGCTCAGGGTTTTCTTCTTGCACGGGCAGTTTCTTAGGAAGCTTAATTCAAAATAACATGCCACTGTGGGACATCCTGGGATGGCCTGCCCTGTGGAAGACCTGTATGGAGCAAGTTAAAGGATATAAATTCCCCTCTGACTGATCTGTAGATTCAATGCAATTCCAGCCGAAGCCCAACATGGTTTTTCTGGGAATCTGAAAAGCTGTTTTTAAAGTTAATATGGAAGAAAGGTAGCTGGATCCCTAATAAGAACAATGAGAAGTGCACTCATACAAAGATTTAATTATACAGCTTTACAACAAGACAAAATGATACTAGTACAGAGATAGATCTTTGGAACAGAAGACAATTGATTATTTATGGAGAAAAAGAAAAACTGGATCCCTGACTCATACCATGTAAAAATCAATTCTAGATACACCGAGGACTTGAATGTAAGCACAGAAGTTTTAGAAGAAAACATAACAAATGTTTTCTAACTCAAGGTTCAGAAGCATTTTTATAAACAAGACACTAACCATAATGAAGAGATGATTTATTTATACTTTCAACTTCTGTGATGTCATGTTAATGTAGAAAAGACAAGTCACTAAGAGGGAGGTGATGGACAAAATAGGCATTTCACAAGCGAAGAAACAAAAGGCGTAAATGAAAAATGATTCACTGATCAAAAACCCAATTAAAACATGGGCAAAGGATGTGAATGGACATTTCGCCAAAGAATATATGCAAATGTCCAATAAACACATGACAAGATGTTCGACATCATTAATCATTAGGGAAATGCAAATCAAAACCACTTCACACCGACTACAATATTACAAAAAGATAAGAGCAAGGCCCCCCTGCCGGTGTGGCTCAGTTGGAGTGTCATTCTGTACACCAAAAGGTGGCAGGTTTGATCCCCAGTCAGGGCACATACCCAGGTTATGGGTTCAATCCCTGGTCAGGGAGTGTGTGGAAGGCAACTGACTGATGTTTCTCTCTCTCTCCTTCCTCTCTCTAAAATAAACAAGTAATAATGAAAAAAAAAAAAAGATAACAGCAAGTGTTGGTGAGGATGTGGAGAAATTGGAACCCTTGCAAACTGCTGGTGGGAATATATAAGATGGTGTAGATACTTTAGAAACAGTAGGGCAGTTTCTCAAATGGTTAAACAGAAAGTCACCATGTGACCTAGCAATTCGAGGTATGTAGCCAAGAAACTGAAAGCATTTGTCCACCAAAAATTTGTACACAACTGTTTATAGCAGCATGATCAATAGGCAAAAAGGGGGAACAATCCAAATGTCTATCAACTGATGAATGAAGAAATATGATATATCTATAAAATGGAATAATAATATTCAGCAATAAAATGTAATCATATACATGTTACAACATGGCTGACCCTTGAAAACATGCTCAGTGAAAGAAGCCAGTCCCAAGAGGCCACATATTGTATGATTCTATTTATACAAAATGCCCACAGTAGACACATCTGCAGAGACAGAAGGCAGATTAGTGCTTCCTGGCACTGGGAGCAATGGAGGGATGACTGCTGATGTTCTTGGGTTGATGAAAACGTTCTAAATTAGATTATCGTGTAGCTGCATAACTCTGAATATACCAAAAACTACTGACTTATAAACTTTAAATTAGTGAAATGTATAGTAAGTGAATTAAGCTGTTAAAAAAAAGATTTATCTCATTAATAAACAAAGAAATGCACAGTAAGACCAAATAAAATTTTGGTCTTTTTCACCCACTAGATTGGCATTAAATTAAGTTGTCTTGACAGTTGCTACAGAGCAAAGGGTACTGTCACACATTGCTGGTGAGAATGTAAATCGATGACCATTTTGTGAAATAACTCAGTAATATCTATAGAAATGAACATGTGCAGTTCCTGTAACCTTGGTATACACACACGTGTTTACTGTTCTTAAAACAAAGCCAGAACACAAATGTCCATTGACTGTCCAGGAAACAAATAGTTAAGTGGAATATTAGGCATCTGTGAACAACACGGATCAGTTTGGAAACAATGCTGAATTGAAACAAGTTCCAAATGACATCTAGTAGGATGTCATTTTTAGAGGGCAAACAAGAGCAAAACTAGGTGTGTTGTTTAGGGTTACATACATAATAATCCTAAAAAATAAAAGTCAGAGAATCATAACCATGAAATTCAGGAAAGTGATCACTCCCTTGGGGCAGGTGAGGGACAGAACGGGGAGGAACACAGGTAGAAGTACCAATACAGGGAATATTTGAGTTCTGAAATGGGATGATAGATTCGTGTTATTTCTTGCATTTAATAACTAATGTGAGTTACATGTATTCTCTCATATGAATCATATACTACCTAATAATAAACTGTCATAGTTTCAGAAAAATCAATGAGTGAGATTCACCCAAGAGTCACCATAAATGCCTAAAACAGTTTAGGACTGATCCTTCCAAACTTGTCTATGTTTAAACATATTAAAATACATTTTCAATGGAGAAGAGATGCTATTGTGAAACCTCCGTTTCTCCCTGCAGTATGTGGTAGACAGCTTTCTGAGTCATATCATTTAGTGTTGATTTAACATTCTATTATTTAATGGTGCAACAATTTAACCAATTCCCTACTGGATATTTAGGTTTTCTGCTTGCTTAACTATTAACACTACATGTACATTATTATATTTTTTAATCCTCACCTGAGGATATTTTTCCATTGATTTTTAGATAGAGTGGGAGGGAGGGAGGGAGAGACACATTGATGGGTTGCCTCCCACACGACCCTGACAGAGGCCAGGGATTGAACCTGAAACCCAGGTACGTGCCCTTGACTGGGAATTGAACCCGAGACTCTTCAGTCCACAGGCCGACGCTCTAATTGCTGAGCCAAACTGGCCAGGGCTACATGTACATTTTTTAGTTAGCTCTTTAGGTACTTCAATGAATTTTGTTTTCTTAAAATAAACTGCCAGATGGAACTGCTTGATGTGTGTATTCTGAACTGCTTTGTCTGGATAAATGAGCCTCCTGACAGCTTATACTGAGACTATACTTTTATGAACAGTCTGAGTAGTTTCCATTTTCTCAGACTTCTGCAAATAGTGGATATCCTGGCCAGTTCTGCAGGCAATAAAGGCCTCCTTCAGTTAAGCATTTCTTTGGTCAGCATTGATGGGATTGTTCTGAACTTACTTTAACCATTTCTAATTCTTCTGAGCTGATTAGTTACTTCTTTTGCCATTTTTCTACTGGGATATTATCATCTTTGCTTTCTAAGAACTCTTCTATTAGGACTTATTACCCTTTTCCACATATATTGCAAGTATCTGCCCAGTTTGTCACCTGTCTTAATTTTGTTTATAATGATTGGGGGGCGGGTAGGGAGTATACAGAACTCTTGTTTACATGTGGTCCGAGCATTCTTTTTTAAAGAAAACTCCTTCCTACCCCAAAGAGAAAAATTCTAGTCTCTGTTCCACAAATTTAATAGTTTTTAAGTTTAAATTTATTACGACCTGGAATTTTCAGAGCCTTGACTTAGGCCTGATTGAGGGCTTTATACTCACCAAAATGGGCAATAAAGACATCCCATCCATCTGTGTCTTATTTAGGTTGTAGCCAGCGATGTCCAAAATAGTAGGGCCCAAGTCAATGTTGGCAACGAGCATCTATGGGAATGAGAAAAAATACATGTTTTCCTTTTCTATCTATACTCTCTTCCCCCTTCCTCACCCGTGAGACACACAGCATTTACTATTATCTACTGTATAGCCCATACTTACTTAGGTCTTACTGATTTGTATATTCAAATATAACTATAGTAATTTTAAAAAGAAAGGCTTATAAGGCTTGTAATATATGCCCCTAGGAAGTTACCCATTTCTTCCACCCATACTGTTATTGAGCAAAACATTTTAAAAAACCCTCTTGGGACTGCCTAGACTCTGTTACGAATTGTGAGAAAAATGTTGGTTTAGTTTATACAAAGTGTTTTCCAATTTGATTTTTCTTATTAGTTCACTCCTGACAATTTTGAAAGCCTCTAAGGTTGAATGCTTACCACCAAGGAGGATATCAGCCCTTTTTATAGTTTTTCAAAATAACAACACTGCTAGAAAAATGTTTGCAATAGGTTTTGAATACTTCAGAAAACTTATTCCAATTATAGATCAAAAAGTTTCCTTAAAGAGCACAAAACTTAGATGTTTTAAACAAACATTCTAGATATGAAAGATACTGTCCTGCATTTATAACTTCCCTTATTTCCTTGGTTTATTAGAGTATTTTCCTTCTGAATGTAATGCCTCTTCAGGACCCAAACTAGCAGAGTCCAACAGAAACATAACAGGACCAAATATGTAATTTAAAATTATCTGGTGACCACATTTAAGTAAAAAAGAAAAAGGTGAAATTCATTGTATATATTTTATTTAACCTGATATATTAAAAATATTACTATTTCAATATGTAAGTAATTTAAAAAATTAATGAGATTTTGTGTTTTTATTTTTAAACCAAGTCTGTGAAATCTGGTATTTAAAAATAATTTGGGTTATCCCATATAGTCTAGTTTTAGCTCAACAGCCAACGTGGCGGCAGCTACGACAGTGGGCTGTACAGGCCTGTGCAGAACCTAAGCATACACCTAGAGGTCACAGGGACGCAAGGGGAGCTAGTGTTTATGAACACCTCTTCTGTGCTAGTACTTAGCGTTTATCCTCACTTAACCCTTACCGCAATCCTATGATGAGCACTCCCCCATTTTACAGATGAGGAAATGAAAGAGAAGTAACCAAAACAAAGTCAACAGTTTGTAACTAGAAAAGCTATCACTTACTCAAGGGAAATAACAGTCTTCAGAATTATTGAGAAAACTTAGATCATCTTAGGAGAGGCCAAATGGGGATTAAAAGAACAACCCCTACTAACCCTGGTACTTTTAGTTTAAAAACAAAACCAAAAGTACAGACACGAAAGGCAAGAAAACACCTTCAGATTGTTCATCCTGGCTCTGAATCAACGAGAGTAACTGGCTGTCCAAAGTGACCACTCGGTGGCAGACAGCTCAAGGGAAAGGCAATCCACTGGTTACTGAGAAAAATCCACAGCAACGTCTCTAGGGATTATATGACACCTGGGTTAGAGGTATCTTGCCTAGTTCCAAGTCCCCCAGGCAGATTGGGAAGCTTGGAATATGGTCAAAAAAACTGGATATGGACACGAAAGAAATCATGGCAGGAAAGAAGAGACAGAGACACGACCTCCAGAATCAGATCAAGGCAACAAGACGCTGACGTGTGACTAACATCTTCAGTGATGTCCAGAATATGAATGCCAAGTCCACAGGTACTGCTAACATGTCCAAGGCAGTTTTCTAAGAAAAAGGGTAAACACCAAAATGGCAAAAACCCACAGAGATATAAAATGGTGACTGCCATTCTCACCAGGAATTAAGAGCCGTCAGCGGTATGATGGGAGGTTCCCTCTAACGCAGTTTGCTCTATGGGGAGACAGGTCTGTACGTTCCAGTACAAGTCAAATGGCAGTAAGATTCAGCACAAATACCATATACACTATATCCCAGGACTCTTCCCTTCTAGGGTTTTGTTTGACCAAGAAGTAGAGTCTCAAAATTAGCATACTGTATCAGGAGATGGGAGATGTCTAGTGGATACTGAGTATGAGTCAAGAATTCATCTGAGAATTATATCTATCTCTGGCCCAGCTGGTGTGGCTCAGTGGCCTGAGCAGCGTCCCACGGACTGAGAGGTCCTGGTTTGATTCCCAGTCGGCACACGCCTGGGTTTCTGGCTCAATGCTCAGGAGGGGGCGTGCAGGAGACAGCTAATCAATGTTTCTCTTTCACACTGATGTTTCGATCTCTCCCTTCCTCTTAAAAAAAAAAAAAAAATCAATGAAAACATATTAAAGAAATATATCTATCTCTGGTTTTTATACAACCTCAAATTAGAATAGATACTATGGGTCCATCACTGTAATGACTTCTACAAACATTAGCGTTTTAAGTTCCTAAAATGGTACAGATACTCCTCAACTTATGATGGGGTGACATCCTGATAAACATTGAAAATATCTTGTTAAAAACACATTTAATATGCCTAACCTTGCCTAGCCGGTGTGGCTCAGTGGCTGAGTGTCTATCCATGCACCAAGAGGTCCCTGGTTCGATTCCCAGTTAGGGCACATGCCCAGGATGTGGGCCAAATCCCCAGTGGGGGCATGCGGGAGGTGGCCAATCGATGTTCTCTCTCATCAATGTTTCTATCTCCCCTTCCTCTCTCTCTAAAATCAATAAAGATAAACAGAAAATTTTAAAAAATACACCTAACCCACCAAACATAGCTTAACTTAGCCGGTTTCTACTGAATGCATATGGCTTTTGCACCACCATCTCAAAGTCGAAAAACTACTCAGGGACTGCCTCTACTGCTTGCTTTCATCACTATACACTCAAAGATTCACTTACGGGTTGAAGCTGAAAAAGCTTGAACAAGACCAAAAGTAGATTATTTCTTTTTTTTTTTATCCTCACCCAAGGACATTTTTCCATTTTTTGTTCAGATAGAGTGGGAGGGGGAGAGAGGAAGAGAGAGAGAAACATCGACGTGAAAGGGACATATCGAGTGGCTGCCACCCGCACGACCAACCAGGGCCGGGGACAAACTGCAACCGAGGTACGTGCCCTTAGCAGGAACCGAACCCGGGTCTCTCTGGACCGCAGGCCGATGCTCCAACCGCTGAGCCAAACCGGCCAGGTCTAGATTATTTCTTAAATCATAGCCTCACAGTTTGGGAATGCTCTGGGGATTTAAATATATAGACATTCTGATAAATAAAAGCCCATAGGGAACTCAGGGGCATGAAATAAAGTGGTGCCATGCGTTGGAGGTGCTTATTTTTTAGCTCTGGAAGAAAGCCAGTGTTGTAGAAGCAATGAAACGATTAAGAGGGCTCTCAGGAGGCCACACCAGGTTTCCAGACAGACATTTAAGCCCGATGTTAAAGAATTCATGCAGGGCTATCAAAGAAAGGACTCAAAGCACATCAGAGCGCACCCAAGTCCACTCTGTGGAAAGCACTGGAGCGGCATACGCAGAGAACTCCCCCATCTCGGGCTGCTCCACCTGGTGGTGCCCTCTGCCCCAGCTTCTCCAACAAGGGGGAGGCCAGGGCATTCCCCGCTGCACTGAACATCCTCCCAGCTTCACACAGGGAAACCAATGCTTATTTTGTCCAAAGTCTTAAAGCCATATGTGGTCTTCCTGACTCCCTGTTCTACTTCCCCTGGATCACGAGGGTCATGTTAGTTTTCCTACAAATCTTTCCCTGTCTTAAAACCCTTTTGAAGAAATTAAACCACCAAATCTAAAGCTGGATTCATTTCTAGCAAGAGGAGGAAACCGTAACAGCCAATGTTGGGGAACCACACATACCACCTGCCCTGAGCTCCCAAATAGCCATCACAGTTAAATCCACTGGTCAAACATGCCCTGTTTTCGCCATTAGACTGTTGACAGCTCAGCTCATTATGCCCAACTCACACAGAAAAACTGGCACTGGGACAGCCATGTGGCTTGCGCCCCGACATTCTCCGCCAGCCAAAAGTTGAGGCACTTACACTTCTCAAACTACATCTGTCAGCACAGCAGGGGAAAAGCATGGATTTTGAGAGTAGGCACAGTTCATTTTCAGTCCTGGTTCTGCCACTTACTATGTGACCTTGGTAATAATATCCACTCAACTAACATGGACGTCCCCCAATGTATGTTAAGGGCTGGGAATTCTAAGTTGAGATAGTGCCTCTCTTCTAGAAACTTCTAGAATAAAAAAGACAATCTCAGTAGGGTGTGGTAAGTGTGAGGAACACAGGAACATGGGAAGGGCACCTACCCTATGTGGGGGCAGGGGTCTGTAGTGACCTCCCAGAGGGGACCCCAAAAGGACAGTTAATGTAGCCTGGTGAAAAGGGCATGAGATGGGCATTCCAGACAGAAGGAACAGTCGGTCGTAGGCAAGGAGGTGAGAGAGACGGTTCACTTAGGAAGTGCACGTAGTTCAGTACAAGGCCACCTTCTGTCCCTCGAACAAGCCAAACTTGTTCTCACGTTTGTGCCTTCGCACTGACTGTTCTGTCGGAACGCCCTCCCACAGATCTGACGGACTCCTCTCCACACCCAGGTCTCTGCAAATGCTTCAGAGGCTTTCACCCACAACCGCAGCTGAGTGTCGGCTCCGGACCAGGGAGTTAACGGATCTTCCTGGATGGCTCACTGCTGTGTGTCCAAGGCTCCTGGCACACTGGGCTGGCACGAGATACTGCACAAATCATACAGTGTCTGAGCTACAGTGTAACTGTTAAGTGTGTGGACTCTGGAGTCACACCGACCAAATTCAAATACAGGGCTCCGATCTATTTTAGCTACATCATTTTGGGCAAGCCACGTAACTTCTGGACCTCAGTTTCCTCATCTGTAAAATGGGGCTGAGGGTCCCCATATCTCTTAAGACTCTGAAGGTTAAATGAGCTGATACAAGTAGTACATTTAGAATAGCACCTGTCACATACTAAGCAGTCACTTAATAAATGTTGTTACTACTGACAGGGCTTCCTAGGAAGCAGGCTTCACTCAGGTTGTTCAGAGAGGAT